TAAAAATGACAGTAAAATAATCGGTTCCGTAGCACACTGAGTTTCTTATTAATTAGATATCACTTTTATTAATATAGACAGGGGCATTATCATCTATGCAGTTTAAAAAGGTTTCCACCCGGTGCAGATTTGAATGGTGTTTTTTAATACAGTTATATTTATTGTTACATTTATGTGGCTGTGTCTAATGATAAATGAACAGCATGTTATTATAGTTGTAAAACTCCAATTCACAACATATAAAGATAGCCAAAGCTCATTTTCATATGGACACGTCAAATAAAACAAGTCACAAAAACGACACATTATTCATCCTTGCTTTTAATATGGGCAAAATGGCCAAATAATTTCCGCCTTTACACCTCAGCTCCTCTCTGTATCTGAAATGCTTGCTATCTTGTATTTACAGTCCCTCTTGTTTTCTTACTTGCTCTCTCTTTCTCCTCTGCTCTCAACAACCTGTCCTGTAATGCCACCCCTGGGGCGGTTTTAAATGTATTGCTTTTGGCCAAGGGCCCTCGTAACATAAATAAGCCGAGGGAAACAATGGACGGACTGAATGACCATCAAACCAGAATTGTTACACACTAGAAGGCACAGGAAGACGTGCACTTCACTTTCCATGCCGTTTCAGAGAAAGTCCTATAATCGCTATTCTCCGTTTCTATTCTTCACATTTCCATCCCCGTTCGCTCTCTCATTTCCTTACTTTCCTTCCTCGTTACTTAAACTCCTTTCACACTCAAGCCACGTCATTGTTATGAATGGATCGACAATGCTCTCTGACCCAGGTCAATGACCCTTATGGCAAAACCCTCGGAAAAATCAAAAACCTTTTTTACTACTGGGGGTACGTCGTAAAATGTATTTTAAAGGCTAAATCATGCAATACTTTCAAAGGAGATATGCTGTTATTGCTTGGGAGCTACGTGGCGATGGTGAGTGGTTGTAAAAAGGATACATCCTCTCAGCTAGCATCCCAGGTAGCCTCTCCCAGTGACCTGTGCTTTTCCCTGCAATGCTACACGGTGTGTCAACTTCCTCTCAAGGCAGACATCCACGCACATAAAACAATGCACACATAAAAAAACACACCCCAATCAGGATTGTATTTTTACAAGAGTACACCTTGTCTTCTTCTTTTTCTGTAGAGATGAGCATTTTTTGTTGACTCAGTTGAAGTTTTAATATGAAGCTATTTAAACAAATGTGTTTTAGTCTAACAAATCCATTCGCTACCACCAAGAATCAAACTTAACACCACCCACTCTTTCATCCCAACCGTCTCAAGGATATACTGACCTGGATAGAAACTTGTCCACATATTAAACTGTCATAGTAAATGTCCTAAATCCCTCAATGAACAAATGCAAAGCCTCTATGTTGATGGCTCCATTCATTTTTCTTCTTGTTTTTCAGTCTGTTATTTCCATCAAACTTTACATGAATCGCATTGTCGAAACTTTTTCCCCCCCGAAAGAAACATCCTCATCCATCCTTTCCCTTTCCTACAGCTTTCATCTACTCATGTATCTCCTCTGTGGTCTTTCTTCCTGGCTCCTCCAGGATCCTGCTTGGGGATAGCCAATCAAATACGTTTGAACACTCATTGATGCTAGATGACTTTGTAGCGACAACAGGGTAATTCTAGTATTTACCTTGTTATTGTCGAGATGGAGGATAGCAATAGTGACTGTGACAACTTTCTAGGCTTTATGAAATCCTGTCAGATGGGCGATTGTGGCTCTATTAATAAAGCTGAACGCCCTTGCATAACATCTTTATAATCTCAGTAGCTGTAGCAAATCATTAGAACAAACTGCTCCTTTTCAGTCTAAATGCTACATAAGACTGTTATCGGTAAAGAAGCATGCTCCTGCCTCTCCGCACCCACCTCCTGGATCCCTCTCCTCATCGAAATTAGCAACTCTTTTTGTTTAAGAAAATATTTAGAATAACCCTTTACTGATCTCTTGATAACCTTGATAAGCATGCGTATATAAACCAAACCACAGAAAGAATCCCTTTGTCCGTTTCTATCTGCTCTCCCACTCACACAACCACACCCACCCCCCCCACCCCCCCGTCCTTGTCACGTCCACAGGGCTTGCGCTGCCTGCTGCGAGGTGAGGGTTCTTCTGGCAGGACAGCACACGCCTCTCTTTGATCTTCTCCGTGCTGGCTGCTACCTGCAGATAGCATATTCACACACACGCACACACACGCACGCACACAAAGCTCTCCCTTTTAACCACAGAGACAACTCTCTCTACATGTCTCGCTTCCTCCTTCTCCGTTCCTGTCGAAAGCTTTACAAACTGAGCTTCTCTCTAATGCACTGGTCCAAAATATGCTTCTTTTTATTTTTTTCTTAAATGAAAATTGATGATTCAAAGAGCCATTTTTTTTTTTTTTTTGCCAAAGATCTGAGAAATAGTGATGGTAAAATACTTGAAGTTAAGTGTATTGCGTGTATAATTTCACCCTTTGTGTGTGTGTGTCTGTGTGTGTGCACTTACTGTCATCTGGTTACCATTTGAAGGCAGAATTACAGCTAATGATATCCTAGAGGAAAACTACAGTAGCTAAACATGCAACAGTTCCTCCATTTCTTTCTTTTTTTTCTTCCTCCACCTACTTTTCCTCCCTGTCAGACCGCTCTAGGAGTCAGAGTCTGGAAAAAAAAGCAGATTCATTCTGTGGATGTTAATACTTTTGGGTTTATATGTAAAGTCTCTGGTCAAAGTAAAGCTTTGTACCAACCGACGGTTAAAGAGTGTGTTTGTCTGCCTTTTTTTGGATGTTACAGTGCCCCCAGCACACACACACACACACACACACATACAGACACTTTCTGACTCTCACATCTGGATTCAATCAGAACCTTACGATCCCCCAGCAGCCTCTCTAAGAGAGAAGTAGGTTGGAGCAGCAGTGTTACATTTCAAACTCATTAGAAAATCTACAGTATGTTTCTGAAAGGCTGGATGTACAGTATGTTTGTGCAACATAAAAAAACCAGACACAAAATATGTAAGTAGAATTCCTACTTGGCAATGCAAAACATGGCTGATGCTCTACAGCTATAGTGCATGGTATATATACATAATGTCCTTGTGGATTAGTAAAACACCGCCTGAAGTCATTACAAGTCAGATACAAACCAGGCAACAAACCTTTACTATGACTCTCTTCCCTTGTTTTGTCTTTCTTTCTTTCCTTCCTATATATAAATGTAAGCCTCGCTGAAAATAAATCTGACTCTTTCTTGTCTCGATTGTACAAAACCCACCACAACCTCTCATTTCTCTACCAATGGAAACCACAAACGCGAGCCAAAAATGTAACAAAAAGTAGAATGCTCTGGGGGTATGAAAAGATACGCATATTCCACATTGTACCTGCTTATAGATCCAATGAAAAGAGGATTAGACAAGTATATCATCTATGTGGTGATACTTGATATGCTGATCATGAGACAAGATGCACTGATATTACACTATTTGTTTTGGTCATACTTTTATCAAGAAAACCAAAAGTAAGAAGTGAACTGTTCCGAGAGTAAAAAACAGTGCACATAGCCTCCCTCTTTGCAGACTGTGGTCACCTTCTTGCACAACGCATTGGTTTGAGAGTTTGGGGAAATATGTGGAATTTATTTGTATGCATCAGCCTGCAACTATTTGCAACACACAAAATTACACACATGAATCCTTGAGCTCTATTAACCATTAATGCTAATCAACATCATCTAACATCAGCTACTTATGCAACGCACGTTATCTGCTCTGACTCGATACTGTACATAGTCACACACATCTATGCACCATCTCCAACTGCACACTGTACATAACAGCGCTGGTGCTAGACCAACTGTAACCATGGTAACAGCTGCACAAAGTGATGTTGAGTGAAGGGGCCGAATGCTGTTTGATTGACAGGGCAGATGTTTAATTGATGATGGATGCTTATATCTTTTGATTTCACAGGAAGTTTTTTAGAACCACCAATTTTTTTTCACAGTACATGTATCTTTTGTGGTACTTGTTTATAACAGCTGCAGTGTTTTTAATTAAATGAACACAGATAAAAACTGTGCCATACATCTGACAAAGTGCAGAGATTGCTCTGTTTGGGTGCTGATCAACCGATGCATGGCAGTTTGATGTGTCGTCACTACGGCAATCAGCTGAGGGTTACTATCAGCAATGAAGAAACGTAAATATATGATAAAATCATATTTTACAGGCACGTGCCAACATCAACTATATGTAATCTAATAGAATAACCTACCAGTTGTTAACTGAGAAAATATTCTCACTTTTTTTGTTTTAATATATGCAAGTTATAGTCCTTGCACCTACGAACCCAAGCCTGTGCCATGAGTATTATGAATATATATATATAATATTCAGAAGAAAAAGCCATTTCACTAATTCCTCGAAGTCTTGAAAAGAAAGTGGCATTGCACCATTCACCTAATCTCTTGACTTTCTGTGCAGTAAACACATTCAAATTAGTGTATTGATGTTATGGTAAATGGAGTGTACTTATATAGCGCTTTATCCAGTGTTTAAGACCCCTCAACGCACTTTGTCATTCACCCATTCACACAGAGCAGTGTACCTTACTCTAGGACCTAACATTCACACACATTCACACACCGTTGGCCATGTCATCGGGAGCAACTCGGGGTTAAGTATCTTGCCCAAGGATACATCGACATGTTGACTGCATGGGCTGGGATCGAACCCACAACCTTCTGGTTGAAAGACGACCGCACTCCCTCGCAGCCACAGTCGCCCTAAGAGGTCTGGCATTGAAAAACAGCTTTCTAAAGAAAAAGCCTAGAGTTTGTCTGATGTATTAGAAATCTAGCCCTTTGTGTACTTTTGATGGTACGGCGAGGATAAAGGATTCTGTACCTACTTTCCAAGAAGTGATCTGAAATGCTGTTCTTGAAAGGAGCTGTCTCTTATTTTTTGATTTGTCCTCAACAGGTCTTCCCTCCCCTTCCTAATGAGGCTGAGATCGCACAAACCAAAAAGCTGTTCCGACGCAGGAGGAATGACCGACGGTAATGACGCATGCGAGCACACACACACACACACACACACACATACACACACACACACACACACACACACTAACCTACCTCAGTGAGAGGGAATGTTTTTTCTGTTGATGTCAGATGTCAGTGCACAGCCAGCCCTATAGCCTTAACATCTCTCCCCAGCCAAAGCTATGTCAAGACAGGAATGCAGGCTCCACACTTCACTGCAGACAGGAAGAAAAAACACTGCGGAGACATTCAAGGTTTTTCATGTTTAATAGGTTACTCACTCAAATGTAAGCCAGTTATTCAGTCACCCTTGTTTGCACTCAATACTCTAGCTTTCTTTCTTTATCTGATTATGGATTTTCTTGCCATGGTTTGCAACATTTAACCTTTGATCCCATTTCCAAACTCCTAAATCTGCCACAAAATGTCATACCGGCACATCTGCTCTAATTGTACACACTCTGAAATCTAATTTCACCCAAGTCTGACTTCATGAAACCATGTCCTGAAGAGAAAAAGAAAACATCGCTCTCGTTCTCTCGCTCCATGCCCTGATGTCACTGGAAAACCGTTCTTCAGTTGCTAAGAGACGGGGAAAGAGAAAATATTTGGGTTGTATTTGTGGTTTGAAAAAAGAGGAAATTTTAGCTATACCAAATGGACAAAAGCACTTTCATCGTTGTTTTTAAAGTACAGAGAGTAATTGGAACTGTGCAGAGCTATTGTTTTTTATGTGCAATGGGCACAGCGAAGTCCTGGCAAAAAAAAAAAAAAAAAATATATAAACGTGGAACAACAGCAGTTTGCTTAGGTTAAGAGGTCATCCTGTTTTCTTGCGGCTTCTAACCACACAGTGAGAGGGTTTTAAATGCATATGTTTGTGTATGCTTATGTGGCCTTCAAGTCTGTGGCTGCTCTATGTGTTTATCATGTTGTATTAACTGAAACGGTGATGGAACACCAAGCAGAACAACAGGGTGATGGAAATGCATCATGTGGACGCTTTATATTTCAAAGGGTTGGTGACTTGCACAAGCTCAGCTACTAGATTGATCAAAGATTTTGCTTGTAACAACCACTTTCCCTCCAGAGACACTCCTGTCCTTTTTGTATCATTGAGAACAATTAAAAGAGAAAAACGTGAAGCACATAAAAACATAACAAAACAGTGCCTTGCATGCTTAAACACAGCAGGAAGATACAGACTCTTAAATACTGCAAAATGTTTATAACTAATGGCACAACAAGTTAAACCTGTGACTGAGGCTTTCTGAATGTAATGTGAAATGTTAAGCTCGAAGGCAGGTAGGCGGTAGTTCTAAAGCTTTCAAGCACAAAGCAGATTCAGTATCATTTCACTAATAATGTTATTAGTTCATTACTTGTTATTGATTAGCTTAAGAATCTTTTCCTGCAAACTTAGAATTTGCCTCTGAGCCGAGTTAAACTCATTCCTCCTTTTAACCAAAGAGAAGTGTTTTATAGGTTGGCCAAATATATTTGCACTGCAGAGATGGAGAAAGCAGGACGAAAAAAGAGTTGCAGATGTCAGCAACTGGCTAAGTGATTCATCAACGTGATTTTATTTTAAACCCAAACTCAGCGGGAGATTTTATAGAATGCAACAATTAGAAAGAGAGACAGGGAATGACAGAAGTCTGTAGAATAGGATTTTATACAACTTTATTGTCCAAAAAGCAATAAACTAAATACACAATAAGTGAAAAACACCTTTAGGGTAATAAAGTCTCGCTGATTGCCTGCGGGATAAATCACTTTCTTAGAGGTTCCTTGTAGCTAGAGGGAGGAAAAAGCTCCTACTAGAGTTTACACAAAGACATTCTGGGCTTTAAAAAAGGTTTTTCATGTGTGGAATGTTAGCAAAGCTAGCAAGGATTTCATCATAGTTGGAAGGTTTTTATACACATTTACAAAGACCCAAAATAAATATCAAAATGGGACGTGAAAGACTCAACACAATGAGCAAGGCGACCCTCCTCCAGACCGCAGCATAAGAGATGTGAAAGTCTTATAACAGGTTATTGTTGTACAGAATGTCCAGTTTGCTCCGAATATGGCCTCCACCTCCCTGTCCCTTTATGAAGCTTAGCATGTTTGCTCATTAAATACATCAACTGCCTGTTTGTCTATCAAACATGCTAATCCTCTTATGTTGATATTGATTTGAGTTCACGTTCCCTGACAATGAATTTTCATCGTAATGAGGAACCACACATACAATGTTATATCAGTATTGTATGTGGTGTGTCAACAATAAAAACACAGAGATACATATTGATCATGTGTCTACGTGCAAAGCGTTGTATTGTATAAAGCACAAGAAAGAGAAACGGAGTGAGGCTGTGAGATTGAGTAAAGGAAAAGTGTAGGCTGGCTGCGGCAGGAAGGAAAAGAAGGGGAGGTAGTGCATGTGTTTCTACTTTAGTATGCACGTCAAGCAGGGCTGAAATTAGTTGTGATTTACTGGAATGTGCTGCTTACCGCTCTCTGCTCCGAAACAGAAAAGCAGCAAAGGAGAAGCTGAAATGCTCCTTCTCCTTCCCTTTTACTGATGAAGATGTGCTTGTTATTGAGGTAGTGTTTTCACTTCTAGACATATTTTTGGTAGTCTTGATGTAACTGTAAACTCAAAGAAAGAAAAGGCACTAACAGTCGCCCCATTAAGTAACAATTCCAAATGATCTTGTATTCATGCACTTGAGTAAAACCACACAGCAGGTCTGCTTGTATTTTCTGCACCTCCTATGAAACGCCTGTTTTCAGCTTCTGCTCACGACTACTCAAAGTTGTTGACTGTGATCTCTCTCTCTCCGATGTATGCCTGCATGTGTGTGTGTGCACACATTCAGTATGTTCCTGAGACTTTGAATCCTAAAACCTGTGAAAAACAGTAAGTAATGCAAATGTTCAGTCAGGCAGCAGAAAGCTGTCTCCCCACAGTCCATTAAACCCGTGAGCTGCGGCCCGCATGGACTCTGGCCGAGTTATTGACTGTCTGGCCTGCAGGCTCCTCTTCCCCCGGGCCGATCAATTTGCTCGTCTGGGTCAACCAATGGTTCCACGAGTCCTCCATCCACAATCATCCGCAGCAACATTAATGATCGATCCTCTGTGTCCTACCTCCTCCCATGATCATATCTACCAAATCATTTCATCTTTTTAGCCACCACTTCCTGTAGTTCTATGCATGTTGTTTGATTGACATAGTTATCAACCTGTAGTGTTTTTGTTTTTTTTTTCTCTTTGCTTCGCTGCTTCCCCCCCCTCCCCTCTATCTTCTTCAACCTCTTGTCTTCCCCTTTACTCCTTCTTCAAATTTCACCGCCGGTTTTCCCACAAATTGTTCTGCCACTTTACTCCACTCTTCATCCTTCCACTCGCCTGCATTGACCTCCTCTCCTGCTTGTAGAGCGCTTGATCAGTTCACCAGAGACCAGTTAACCATACTCCTGCCTCACGGCCCTGGGGGAAGGCGGCATGTCTCAGCCAGGTTAGTGACAACATGAGCCAGATCCTGCGCACCAAGTGGGACCTGAATACATTTCTGACATTTGAAACAGTGATTTGATTTATTGTACTCGACAAAGCCTCGGCATCAAAAGGTCAGATGGTAATTGGTGGGACCAGTATCGGGTTTTTTTACATTTTATATTTGAACTGGAAAGGAAATCTTAGAAGTAGTAAAATAGAAAATAGGGGGCACAGCCAGGCACTAATTCTAACACTCATTTCAATCTGATTATACCGTAATGTTACCTATTCATCACCTCAAACAAAAAATGTTTTAGATTGGTATTTGATGGAAAGTTCTGTCTCTAAGTAACAAGAAATTCTGACATGACATTTCAGTGGCCTCATCATTTATCCTTAAAGCACACACCTCCCCGGATGGCTCACCCCTTCCTCACTCTGCAGAGCTCTCAGTCATTAAACATGATTAACATTTTATTACTGTCTCCCAATCACCTCTACGCATCACCAGTAGATCAGGAGAAGAGCTTATTAGAGCCGAGCCTAAACTAACAGCTAGTGTAAAGATCAAATTGATCGTCAGATGAGAGAATGTGTGAGACTCGGGGTGTCTCGGAGAACTCTAAAGCTTTGCAAAAATTATATAATCTCACCCACTGCAGTTATTTAATGAGATCTCACGATTTCTGTCAATCATTGTTAAGCTGTTAGACTTTATTCTATGATTAAGTAAAACATGGGTTATAATGCCAAGTCGTTTTTTTTTTTTTAAAGTTTGCTGTTAAAAAGAGAAAAAACAGACATTGAATGATGCTGATGGGAGTGCGTGACAAGAGTGTTTTTCCTGATCATTGTGTGCGATAGAAGAGCTCTATTTTAGTCTACGAAAGGCACCAATGATATTTGCATAGCGCCGGAAAGAGTGGCATTAAGTCTGAGGCAGGATGTTGGGTAGAGGAGACAGGCAGAAGATGAACTGTCTGCCAACCTCCCTGAGAGAGTGGAGCAGAGGGGCCAGGCGAGACATAAACCAAATGAACCACACACACACAAAAAAAACATGAATACACTTAAACACCTTCACGTTCCCTTCAGTGTCGAATTCATCACAGCAACAACATTTCCTGCTGACACAGAAGTAGCAGTCGCGGTTGCAAGGAGTAGTTAATATTTTTTTTTTATAGTTATTGTCTTTCTTGATAGATCTGCTAATTAAGCTTTACAAAATGCCCATTACAGTGGTGAGTTGATCATCAAATAATACAAGACAAATAAAAGTGGAACCATCAAGTTTTTATTGCTTAAAAACTACTAATAATCATTGGAGCACGACAATTATGCCAATAATAATATCATTCGTATGTTGATGACAACTGATGAGAAGTTCTGTATGAATTGTATCTAAATACTTTGCACACATCACATACACAGGCTGCTGGTCGCTTAAATCATTTTCATTAGGGCTTACACTCATCGACTATAATGTTTTATACCACCTTTTGAATATTCTTTTCAAGACTTTAGAAGTTCCGTTATATAACTTTAGCAGACATGATAGAATCCAGTATCTCTGCCTTGTCTCTTTCTCCCAGAAGTTGTTTAACCTGTCCATACAGATTTGTTCAACTTCTTTTAGAACAAAAAAATAGTCATTCAAAGGTTGTTCATATGTTAATTCATTTTCAGTGGTATTTCTTTGCAAAACGAGTGGGATAGTGACACACAGTTCTCTTTCACAAGGTGTAATAGTTGTCTGAAACTATGTCTGGCTTATAGATTTTATCCTAAAATCACGCTTTTGAAAGTTTCTTTAATGATTAAGTGCAAGGAAACACTTGATGAAAACCCCCATTGCCGTCTTGGCATTGGCAAACTTCAAAGTTTTGGAAAGTTTCCTTTCTTTGCACGTCAATCTAGCCTCCACTAGACTTACAAAGCCTGTTGGACGTCACATATTTCACTTTTATGATTCTTTTTCTAAATGTCTTTATTAAAGAAACCTTGTGCCTGGAGCGTTTCGCTATTGGAGTGGTGAGAGCTCATAATGTATAACTGCACCGTCCCAGGTTAGATTCCAGCCTTGGAACCTTTGTTGCATGTCATAATACTCTCACTATATAGAAATACTCTTTCTCTGTGCTTTAGAAGCTGTACTAAATAGTTCAATATGTACGTTTTCTTTGATTCTCACTCTGTGTAGATGCACTTATGGCATTTTTTAAGAAAAGTACTCTTGAGTTCTTGTTCAGTGTTTTGGTAAAGAAAATGGTCTGCCAACACATAAGATTCAAAATGAGGATGTGTTTGGTACCCGCAAGAGCACCAAAAGTAAAGACTCAGGAGGTGGGGAAGGAGCCATTGGCCGGTCCTGATTGGCATTGTGGCCGGTTTGATCCCATCATAAAATGTTCTTTACTTTATTGTTGAAAAGGGCCAAGATTTATTTCCTTTGCAAATCACGTCCGCCTGCACAATTTCCTGATGAAAAAAGCATTTAGAGAGTTGAGGGGGGTTAAGGGAGCAAAGGTTCACTGGCTGAGGCAGATAATAGGTTGCCTCCACGGTGCCAGGGTGACTAATCCCCTGGACCATATGTCAGCAGCTCGTGAAGCCCAGAGAGCCAGTACAGCAAAAGGACAGAGCTATGCAGGACAGGAATACACAGACATACTGTGCATCCACATGTAAGCAGGCTTTTGGATGTTTAGTTGCGTAAATGTTATATCAGTAGATGATGGGTTACTGTTTGTGTCTAGTTGTGAACAGTCATAGTATTTACAGAAGAGTGTGGCAAGTCACCGGGACCAGAACAGGAGTTAAAGGAAACCGTGCATTTTTTATCAAACTAAAGATGTGTTTTTGGGAGAACAGAGGGGCGGCTGTAGGCCATTTTGGGGCCAGTGTGACATAGACGGGCGCTCAAGCTTCTTCTACATCACAATTAAGCTTTCTTACACCTTCTCTCAATCCAGGAGACAGCAGCGACCACAGGGAGGAGGAGTAGGAGGTGGTGGAGTAGGAGGAGGAGGAGGTGGAGGGGGCGGAGGAGTGAAGAACCAACCTCAGCTGATACAACAACAGTCCCCACAGCATCAGAGGGATCTAACCCAACAACAATGTCAAAACCAACAGCAGCAGAATATACCGGAACAGGGAGATAACAGAAACAGTAGTGCCGGTCGGCCGCCGCGCCAGTACCAGGGGGGGCATGGGCAGCGCCAGGGAGGACCCCCGCACCACGGATACAGCCAGAACAGGCGCTGGCACCCCAATCAGAAAGTTCAGGGATACGGACAGACGAACGTTACAGGGGATAAAGGAGTACCCCCGAGAACAACCAAAGACAAACAGACTGAGAATGTAAAACCAGGTGAGGAGCAGATCAGTGCACCTCAAGACTTCAGAAGTCCCACTGAATCCCCCAGACCTGAGTCCGCACCAAACACAAATGCTTTCCCACAACCGACAGTTAAAAAGGAATCTCCCGACCCACCAGGAAGTAGAAAGGCAAGCGAGGGCCAGTCGGAGCGGCCCAAAATCGACTTGCTGCAGTCGTCAAAGGAGAGGCTGAGGAGGAGACTAAAGGACAAGGTACGGAAAAGCTGCTTAGGCCCTGTCAGTCAGCCTTAGGGCAATCAGGACTAATGTATCTGTGCACACACACGCCACCATTTAGTTGTATAATTACCTTCATAATGACCACACACACACATACACTGTCATTTATGGATAGACAGTACAGTAGACGCATAGTTTTGTTGCACTGCCTTGCTTTAGTCATTCGTCTGCTTGGTTATTAAGCATTCACGGTGACACACCCAGACTGTCAGGGAGGGGTGAACATGTTCTCACTAAGGAGGTGAAGAAACAAAAGCGGCATTAGCGTAACAGTTTCTGATGTTTTCCACTGTGTGAACTAAACTGGCGAGTCAGCCAACTGTGTTGCTGCCCTCAGCTCCGTCTCCCTCCTCTCACTCATTACTACCAGGGGTGGTTTGATTTGACAGCGCGGCACCACACAGCAGGGAGGAGAGGAAAGAATGAACAAGCAGGGGTGTCAGTGATACAATGAATCTAATGTCGGAATGATGAAGACCCAAGGCTAGAAACAAAATTATAAAATGGGGGTTCTCTTCCACAATATATCAAAACATGTTAGCTGTGCACCAGAGATGCTAAAGTATACACACAAAATGTATAAATGGTTTAAATAAGCTAATCGTAACTAATGCTGAAGTACTTTTCATCAGCACAAATATCAGCCTTGGATAACTGGACTTAAACTCACACTGTACATTTTACATATATATATATTCCATTTGATATGTAATATTCCATTCCTTACACACTGTATATATAATATCCTGCTTTATATTTTGTTACTTTAAATCTGTATTTCAAGATGTATATTTTCTTCTTTTTTAATGCTATTTTAAATTCTATGTGAGATGTTTACATTTTGGATTATTTCTTTCTAGTCTTTTCATTTCTCTAATGTACAACGCAAAACATTTCCCAAATTGGAATCAATAAAGTACTTCTTATCTTATCTACCCACTGTAAATATTCATTTCAAGTCAGCATATAATGAAATCACTAAATAAAAATTGTGGTCAAACCAACAGTAAATTGAAATTGAAACTTGCCACTCACGACTTTCCCATCTCCCCCCTCAGGAAGAGGCTGGTGTGGAGGCGTCGGGCCCCGGCTCACAGAGCATGGACCGGCTGGTGGAGCTCCTCAACAGCATGAGGAGCAACAGCAGCGGGGTGGAGCAGCAGCTGGCCTCCTTCATGGAGGAGGCGCAGAATTCGGCGCGGTGCGAGGAGACCCTGGCTCAGGTGGTCAACACCCTCTACTCCAAAGCCGTGTCGGACAGGAGCTTCGCCGCCACAGCCGCCAAGCTCTGTGACAAGATGGCGCTGTTCATGGTAGAGGGGACCAAGTTCAGATCTCTGCTGCTCAACATGCTGCAGGTGAGAGGGAGGGAATGGGTTAGCTGCTCAAGCTTTTCTGTTAGATATTTCAGAATAACTTACTCATTAATTTCATGGACCTGACATGATTTTCTTCAATGATCACCCATAACTAATTTAGCTTGATTTAGTCGATGCAATTTTCTTTGAAGTAGTTATTAAACTAGCTTAGTTACCTTTCACAAAGATGCAGTTTGACAAAGATAGCTGTACGATAAAAAAGATGCTCGAACAAATTAGTTTAATGGTATTTGTCCATGAGTAATTAAAAGCCCAACATACAGATTGTTGTGTCTTTTAGACGTACTCCCATCCATTTTTCAGTAAGTCTGCCATAGTCTTGTTCAGTAGCCTCATATCCGCTTAGTTTTATGAGGAAGCACTTTCAGGTGGAAGCCAACTGTGTGTGTGATGTTGTAAATGTCAGTGGGCAAAGTTTCTAATCTAAACACCCAGGGGAGAGAGACAGCCCCCCCCCCCATCCCTTCACCCTCCGCCCTTCCACCCTTCCACCCTTTCACTCAACTGCACAGTTCCAGTCTTGCACCCATGATGAAAACATCCTCTCAGCCGTTATATATTTCCATGCCTCTCTCCCCCCCCCCCCTCTCGTCCCTCATGAGCTCTCTATTACCGCGCTCCCCCGTCTTATCGCCTCCCCTCACCCGGAACGACACGGGCCAGTGCCTCTCTTCTTCTCCCTGCACACTTCCACTCTCTCTCTTTCTTAACATTCTCCTCCTTTTCGCCCCTTCCTCTGTCACGAGTCAGACGAAAGCTGCCAGAGTGGTAGACGCTGTAAAAGTAGGCGAGACGAACACGCTGTTTTCAGAAGACATCCGAGGTCTAAATGTTAACCCACCTGCTGCCTTTACCCTTCTTTCACTCCTACTCCTGTTTCATTTCCAGCAGATGCTCTTTTTGACTGCTATCCCACACTCTTGTTTTTTTCTCCTTCCCTCAGTTTTTCCATTTCTTTAGATGTAGTGATATTTTCCCTGACCCAGCAGTAGTAAATCCCACCGTAATTATTTTACCCTCTTTCTCTGCTTTATTATTTCCCCCCCTTTTTCACAGCTCTGTGGTCAGATACTCTTTGTTTATTTCTCACTTTAATTCCCACTTCCCAGGCAGCCTGGACCCCCTCCTGGTCTTTGACATTTTGGCTTTTTGCTTTTAAACATTTTAAATGTCATAAGTGGGTTCATGAAGGCCATAATTAATGATGTTGCTCCCAGAGCCCTGGATCTCAATTTGGGGGCAATTAGTCTGGCTCTATAAAAAGTGTTTGAAAGAAAGGCATCAGGGATGATGCTTTCATTAAACATGGTCTGTTGCCTATGAAATATCCTATTTATGTAAAGCTGAGCAGAGCATTTGGCCTTTTTTTGTTCCCTGATGCTTCTGCCACCTTCATCATTGTTTCGTTTGTTGGTCCATTCAAGGACGCATATTCTGTGTATGTCTGTGTACAAACAGACCTTCGGCGGAGTTGTACGAGTATGTGAGAGTACAAGCCGCCAGTTTCTCTAGTGCACTTCAGTACGGGCAGTACACTCTGGATAAGCAGAGTGAGTTCCTCTGAGTGAATACAGTTTCAGTTTAACCTGCCATATAACATCTTTAAAAGTGCGCATTAGGCATTAACCCATATTAGCCCCAACACTTTTACAGCACTGACACAGTTCACTACCCTTCACTTTCAAACCAAATTAACATATTCTCCTCTACTCCTGGCAGAAAATGAAATTCATGGATTTGTTTAATGTGTTTTTCAACCGCTTTTTGGCTTTAAGTACTTCAAGCTGCGAGGTTAATATGTGTGCCACCTACAAAAACCCCCATCAGGGAGATAGCAAAGATGTTAATGGTGATTATCACCACTGCTGATGAATTTAAGGGACACTTAAATATCCACCTACCTCCGGCCTACTTCTACAACTACTACACAAGCTGCATAGCCTGTAGAGTTTCACTGTATTTTCAAACTTTATATCCATCTGTCTTTTTCTTTCTCCTCAGAGGGACTTTGCCCGTCGAGAGGAGCTCCAGCAGTCGGATGTGGAGAGGTGGTTAGGTTTCATCACCTTCTTGTGTGAGGTGTTTGGCACCATGAGGAGCAGCTCTGCGGACCCTTTCAGAGTGCTGGTGTGTCCCATCTACACCTGCCTACGAGAGGTCTGTATCCAGATCTGTCATTTATTACAAATATGTTTATTTACCAATTAATCAACTCATCTGCTGGTTCCAGTAAGAGGAACGTTTCCAGCCGTGTCTGTTTATCTTGTCTGTTGCGATCGGAACATGTAGCAAGTTTCCTGTTTTTGGCCAGACCCTGTCTAGACTCGATACACCACTGCGGGGTTTGGTAAGTGGTTTAAACAGTCAGGACATCATCACTTCCAAAAAAGAGCTTGACACAAGGTCCATTTCTCATCAGCTGCTCGTGTTCTCTTAGACACACTTCTTTGGTGACCATGGAAACCAAATGGGGAGCCACAGCAGACGCGGTGAGATACAGAAGTGGTTAAAGGCAGATGGGATATTGAAAGGGGAAGCGAGTGAAGATGGGGGGGGAGGGAGAAAGAGAAGAGGTAAGAGGAAGCTGAGAAGCCTGTGGTCAGGTTGACAGTTACTGCGGAGGAAGTTCACTGACAGCACGACAGGTAGCAGAGCGAGGAGAAGGAGAGGGGAGATGGCAGGGGCTGGGAGAGAAAAACCTTTTTAATGTGGAGTTTTCAGAGAGAGAAGAGATAATGGCAGGTTTTCAGACACGTGCAAGGTAGTTTCACCGCCCACGTCCACACCTCTGCCCGTCTGGCACGCAACACACACCCAGCGTCTCGCTAACAAACAATCAACACACAACCAATGCCATCCACACCCTGTCTGAGCGTATGCCCAGAATAATCATTATCTCAGCTTGTTAGAGGACTTACAGTGTAACACACCTCCGTATTCCAGCGTCACACCTATGTGGCAAAATGATTTCTAATAACATCTCCATGTCCTTGAGCCATTGTTACTCATTTCTAGCCGTCTGTTTTTTTTGTCTCTCCTGTCGTAACATGTAGATGTCAGATTCTGTTACAAGCTATGTGCCATAATGTGTGTGTGTTTGCATATGAGAGTACTCATGTGTGTGTATGTGTGTGTGGCGGTGCATTTTGCAGCAGCTGTCCTCTGTAGTTATAGTCTGCAGAACAGGGTTAGGTAACAGCTAAGGTGTGTAAGAAAGTGTTTAAAGTGTACATGACAGCTGTTCATATAGATGGGGCAGGTCAGCGAGCGGTGATCCAAGCCATTCAACACTCACAGGCCAAAAGTGTTTTTTTATATGCGCACAATCCACATAGATGCACTAAATAAGATAATCCTTGACTAAAGTGTCAAAGCAAACATGTCAATTATAGACTTTAGATACACCTACACTGGCATAGATATTTACCCAGACCATTGTGGTAAAGTATGTAGTAAGGCAAGATGAAAGATTACAGCTTCTTTTTATGATACTGCACCTTGTAAAAATTATTAAAGGAGTAATCCAACATTCCTTTATTAAGGGGGAACAGACCTGAACAGCCGAATAGTCATGGCAAATCAGAAGGCAGGTAGCAGGGCGCTCACATTAGCATAAAAAACGATTTTCCTGAAGCATGTGGCACAGTGGTTTGCAGGTGCACACTGCAGAAAGCATGCACATACTGTCTGCTGGTGACCACAGGGCTATTTATATTGTTTCTTGGTATCCTTCTTTAAAGTCAGCTTGGGCCCTCACGGTTTTCGACTATTAACTTCAAATGTTTCAATCGTTCTTCAAATAAACTGTCAAAACTGAGCATCATGTTATTGTAAGTGTTTTAGTTTGTAGTGTTTTCTTTGTCGAGCAGTTGGTGAAGTACATAAATAGGGTGATGTGTAATGTTACTAAGGGAAGTTTCTCCTTCTGATGCTTCTGTTGCTATGCAACTATTGGAAGTGCAGTTAAAGTTGAAGTACTCATAATTCTAACTTTGCGCGCTCTGCGTGTCATTAGTACTCTGATGAAACATGTTTTTCTCGAAGCACTCGTCCATCATTTACTTTTCTTTTAGCCAGCATATGATGACAGCTTTCAAAATATACATGAGTGAATTCAAGGACAGATGAAGCTTTCGCTGAATATTTAAATAAATATGAATGTTGTTCTAGCTGACTTCACTGAGTCATTCAAGTTGTTGTTGGATTAATATTTTCCATTCTGTGCTACAAGATGATCACGGCTGTCCTAGTTCTTCTAGCTTTTCATCTTCCAGATAAAATATGTTTTGAATGAAAATACTGTAAATGGAAATCACACAGACTCCCAGCGCTTCCCCTTGCAGAGTTTTTGTGTCTCTGTGATGTAACTAACCAGAGATCTGTCTGCTTCAGCTTCAGCACAGAGACGTTGTGCTTCAAGTAGTCTCTCAGAGAAGTTGTTTTCCTGCAGCTGTTCCTCTTCTACTTAAAAAAAACGAGAAGGAGGAAAAGAGAGCTACCTCAATGGCTAGGAGGACCGATTATAGATGAGTATAGATTAGTCCATTTTAAACGTGTTGAGTAAAAACGTCACACTGGGCTCCCTGGAGAACTCATTATGAGCCCATCCTGCGTGTCACACGGCTCTCCTGCTCTGGGAAAGACGAGACTGTAGTTCCCACATCAAACAGCCATACTGTCACCACGCCATGCAACTGCCGGGCCTGAATTATAGGTGGAATACCATTAAGCTTACAGCGGGGAAATAAAAGCCAGCTCGCATTAAGTTTGGATTGAAGTATCAGATGGGCTATCCTTGTTTCTTTTTATAGTTACAAAGAATCAGAAACTATTTCCATGTCTTTTGTTTTCATTTCTGTTTTGCTCTCAAAGCATGCATACCATCAAAGTTAAGTAAAATGGTCAAATCAGAAACTATTGGATGGGTTATTTGTCTGTATCAATCAAGCTTGTAGTTTAAGTGCATTTAAAGAACATTTTGTGCATGCATACTCATTGTTACATTGTTATACATAATTATGAAAAATATTTATTAGAGCCACTTCAAATCACCTTGTAATGACAGACTGCTTCTAAACAAGTTCTCTTTCACTAGTCTTCCCATAACTGTGCCTGCATTTATATTTCATTTAGCTCATTGTGCAGCAGTTCTACTCATTAAAGGTTTATTTAGATATCAAAACAGCAACACAAAAAACATCCCCTCCTGTTACTTCCTTTCCCTCCTTCAGGATAATCAAAGTAGCACTTTGTGAAACCGACTGGTAGAGGAGTAAAACAAGGACTATTCTGTATACTGTAATCTGGCACTAGATGTGCACAGCTTCCGTTCTCCACGTCTATAGGAGGCTCTCTGTGGGTCTGTCTCCCTTTGTGGCCATCGCCCCCTGCATTGTTTGAAAGTGCCAGTTATATGCCCATCTGTGCATGGGGCCAGTGGAGGGGGTGGAAAGCCAGCTAGCATGTTTACCAGCTTCACAGTTTGTTTTTGGCTGCTCTGGTAGTGTGCACGCGGATATACAGTGTGCACAGAGCCAGCCTTGATGTCTGACGGTTAGCTAGCTTGCCAGGATGAAAGCCTGGTGTGTTGTCTTCCAAGATTTCAAATGTTAATGTAGAAAAATATTTACAATTAGGATTAGGTCTTCTTTTTTCCTTCTCTTGTGAACTGATGAACACACACACACACACACACTTGCATTTGCTTAATCTCCTACTGTGGCCTACATCCAAATATATACACATTTTTATAAATCTGCCTTGTTGCTGTGCGGCTCTTTGCTTCGCAGTGTTCCAGTATATTCAAATATGATCTGCTCTTGTCCCTTATAGCTATTGGAGTCCACTGATGTGAAGGAAGATGCAGTGCTGTGCTGTTCAATGGAGGTATGGTTACACACACACACACACACACACACACACACACACACACACACACATACATAGGTAATACTCGTGTTTTTGTTTCAAGCAAAAGGCTGATTTGAATTTAAGTGCCAGGCAAGAAATGAAATGCAGTAAAACATCTGAACAAATGTATGTGGAAAAAAAAAAGATCCAGGCGATATTGAAACACATAAAACCCATGTTTCATTTTAATTTTCCTTTAATGTGCAGTACATGCTGGAGAGGTCCACAGTATGCACAATCTCAAACCCATATCTTTGATATTCCATGGTCGTCTCCCGAGGGTTATGAATAATAAAGTAGTGTAGGTGAATTTAAGTAGAACTATGGATTTAATCAGACTTGGGTCGTTGTAGAAGAACCGAAATCTCTCAGCAGCAGTGATAAGAAAACAATAAAAAGAGGCGAAACAACAGAAAGAGCAAAGATAGGTGGCTAACAATTCCCAGATGCTCACAAACACATTCCTCGCAGTTTTGATGACTCACACACACACACTCCATGTCCACAGGGTGTGTGAACTCTCCTGTCTGACTGCATCTACAGTAACAAGGTGCCAGACGTTGTGTTTTGCTCTCTGTAAGCGACACACACACACACTTCCTCTGACCCCCTCCCTCCCTCTCCTCGTCTCTCCACCAGCTCCAGAGTATGGGGCGCCTCCTGGAGGAGCAGCTCCCTGAGATGATGACGGAGCTCCTCGCCGCCGTCAGGGACAAGATGCTGAGCCCGGGCGAGTCGCCGCTGACCCGCTCTCTCCTCATGGAGGTCATCGAGCTGCACGCGCACCACTGGAACCCCCTGGAGGCCCTCACCACCCAATACTACAACCGCACCATCCAGAAGCTCACCACCTCCACTGCCTAGGTGCCAGAGAGGAGACCCCCCCCCCCTCCGTTGCCCCCGGAAACATTTTCCAGTTGAGCATCAATGTGCTCTTCCACTTTTACCAAAACATAGGAATTTAACAACACTCTAAATAAATACATGCTTTACGTTTTTTTGTACATTTCACTAATTTCTCCAAGATGGGTGACCACTACCGCAAAAACACAAACAGACTAATCACTAAACAGGACCCCTGACCCATCAAGGCAACACTACATGTGGCGTTCAAACAATGAAAAGTGTATTTGACACACAACAGCAGCGTATATGTGGCCAGTAGGGGCCACACAGGGCTGGCCACTGAGGGATATCGAAGGGGGGGGGGGCGAGACAACAGAGGGGTCACACAGGGGAGAGGAGGAGAGGGCAGCAGCAGCGTGCCCGTAGGGAATAGAGCGATTCGTACCCAAAGATGAATGGAGGAGGAGGGGGGGGTCAGGGTAGTCCGTGTCAGTCTCTTCATTGTGCTCATTTCCCCACCGCCCTCCCCCTTCTCTCTGTCTCCTTCTCCCCCCCCCCCCCCCCCCCTCCTCTGTCTCTCCCTCAGCCCCTGGGGTCTGTGTGGCTGATAAAAGAGAGAGAGAGAGGAGGAGCAGGCGGCAGGGAGCAGACACGGTGCTGTCTGTCTGGGACCGGGTCAAAGGGTCTCACTGTGGAGCTCCCCAGCTCCCACAGCTCCTCCCCCCCTTTGTCTCCCCCAGCCCCCCCCCCCCCCCCAGCAGGAAGCCTTTCTGTGGGGGTGAGACAGCGGGCCTGCTGGGCCTGGCTGGGCGGAGGATAAGGATCAGGCTGGCTGGAGCTGGGTGGCAGATGGCTGCTTGAGCCCATGTGAGACGACACACCCCTCTGGCACCCTGCCCCCCCCCCCTCCCCAGCTCGGCCCGGTGTCGCCAATAGAAGCAGTAGATATATTGGGGGGGGGGGGGCATTAGAAAAGCATTAAAACAAAACACTGCTGTCTGATATTTCTTTTGTTTGGTCCTACAGAGAATGGCCTCTCCCACTCTGTGTAGCCGTGCATGTACATGCTTTGTTCACCACATCTTTGATATTGTTATTATATTATTTTTTTAATCCTTTAGTGTTTTTGTAAAGTCTTGTTTTTACGATGAAATGTATGTATGAGATAGTAGCGGTAGGCCTTATTGCACAGATTTGATTTGTTTGCACTGTTTTGCTTTTTCATTCAAAAAGAGGCAAAAGTTTGAATCATCAGTGCGCATGGATTCATATTGAGATCTCAGTAGAGACCAATGGGTTCAGCATAGTGAGGGATTTTAGTATGTTTTAATGGACTAGTGGCCTTGTCGTGTATCCATCTTTATAGGAGCTCTCGTGTTCAGCAGAGGGCATGCTGAGGAAAAAGAATGTTGGACTTATATAAACTGTTATGTTGCTGAAGAACAAATCAGTTGAAGAGAAAAAAAAATGATGTCCAAACACTAAAAAGAGCATGGCACAAAGAGAAGTGAAATGCTTCTTTCAAAAAAAGATTCTCCTACTCAAGCCATTCTTTGCAGTGGACATTTTGCAAGTGTTTAACATTGACTGTATTTGCTTTGATTTCCAGGAAAATGACTATTAACATGTGTATCTGAAGATGACATTGAGGAAAAGAAGAAATGTTGTATGACCTCATTAGCTAGTCTTATGTGACCCTTATTCCAGCTACTGTGTGAATTATGATATCAACGTACCAAGCCAATCATGTACCATTTGTAAATGGGCTTTATATATAATCTGCTTACAGTATATTTACAAGTATTTAAAACCATTGGGATCGAGGAGGACAGTGCAACCGAGATGTGACACACAGGAAGACTGGTTGTGTGGCTAGAGTTTGGCTTTTCCATGCATTTGTTTCAGGAAATAGCTTTGTTTTGGGAGTCGTCACGCACACACACACACACGCACATCCATACTTAGTTTCCCATTGAATCTCTGTGGGCAGTTTTAAGTGTTTTTTATATAATTTTCTCTGTCTTGCATCAAGAATTAAGATCCTGTGTGGTAGAAACACAACCCAGAAGATGAGTTAGATGAAAGGTGAATAATGCTCACAAATGTTTTTTTGAGGTGCAGCCTAATCGTCTGTAAGCGTGTGTCTGCTTAAGGAGTTGTTTGTTTTATTGTCTTTGTTTTGTTTCTAGGTTTCTATTTAAATTATATTTAGCTCATTTATATATATTTCCCATCTGGTGGGTTTTTTTCAAGACATGAAACCGTTGTGATACCTAGCTTGCTGTGTAAGTGTGGTATTACCGTGTTTTAGCAAATGGAAAAAAAGACCCACGGTGAGTTTTCATTATGCAAAGAGCGACTGGCTCTCACAGCAGATGGGGGCAGGTGGGGATCGCCCCCCCTCGTCTGTGGCTCTGGAGCCCCCCCCCCACCCCGCGTGCCCTTAGACCCCTCTGCACGGGTCACATGACTTACTCGACGATTGAATGAGACACCCCTTCATTTGCATATTCTCATGAATATTGAAAAGCTAGATTGGCAATTGTGGGTCATCTCGTGAGCTGTTTGTTTTGTTTTTCTAAGCAACTGAAAAAAATAAACTAACAGGAAAAAAAATGATATGAAGAATCAAACTGTGGTGTGTTTTTCTGTCTGCTCACTTATCAGCACCATCACATGGCCGTCGGCGTGGCATCATAAAGATATTCAGACATCACAAAGGAAACAATGGTGCACACGCTGCTTCCTCTGCCATTAACAGATTGACTGCGTAACTAATCCTAGCACCCCAGTAGGCCATTAAACTAACAATTCATACATGTGCACACTGGAACTGCTCATTTACATGTCCTCGCCTTTACATGGTCACACATTAAACAGAGCACACTTCAGAATTGTAACAGCAGCACGTCCTTGGCCGGTGATTTGCCTTTGGTCGGCCCTGACACATGCCTGGGGCTCCCCGACTGCGGGGCGTCCCAACGGAAGATCTCCGTGCCGGGGTTGCCATCCCACTGAGGACCTAGAACCTATAGGACGTCCTTCATCACTCGCTCACATCAATCAACATAATCCCAAGCGTCAGTATTTAAATCCATTTGACAGTATGAACCACACTTTAAATATTCTCCATCGACACTGAGAGAAGCTTTGTTTTCTTTTGCTCAGTGGTGTCCTTGACAGAGATGGATTAATGATGATGGTTTCTTTTTTGTCTATCATCACAACACGTGTAAGCTTCTTTTAACCACACTACAAACAGGGACAATAGGGAAGATATTCCCCATTGTCACTAAAGTATATACAGTATAAGCAACCCATGCAGCAAAAAGAGCGTGAAGAAAGATTCAGCAGCTGTAGTGGAAGAAGAGAGGGAGGGATAAAGAATGTGGGAAGAAATGGGACAGACCAAGTGGAATAAATGTAGGAGGAGATGAAGTGAGAGAACATATATAGATATATACAGAAATGGCTGGATCTTGGGACAGTGTGGGGGAAGCCTATTGAGGAATAAAGGGAAATAGTGGAAGAAAGACAGAGCCAGCCCCGACTGACAATTAGCATCACGGTTCATTTGGCTCTGTGCAGTGGGGACAGACAGTTGAACGTTAGCCCTGAGGAGGAAAGTCTCGCTGGCTGAGCTGCTGGAGCCAAAACTGGTGATAGACAGTAGCCGTGGTGCCAGCATAAAATCAGATCACATTACAACAGCATGATGTTATTTGTCTGAGAGAAAAGAGACACAATAAGGGGGAAATTAATAGTCAAAAAAGGAGTCTGAGTGATGAAGTCTATATGGATTGATGTAGAATGTTTTCATTTATGTCGATTTTTGGGGAAAAAAGATACACTACAACATAGTATAGTATGTCGAAAATATGAGAAAAATCAATATTAGTATGTTGATAAAATGAGAAAAAAATAGCATAGTTTAGTTTGACGAAAATATCAGAAAAAATTGCATGGTAAATTATGTAAGAAATATCAGAAGAAACAACATTGTATAGTATGTCGAAAATATAAGGAAAAGCACTGATACATGTTGAACAATGTAAAATAAAAATACGAGAAACAATGACAAAGTATAGTCAAAAATATCAGAGAAATATCAGAAGAAATAAAAACAGCATATTATCCAATGTCCTTTTTTATTAAAAAAAGACAAAGTGAGTATGTCGAAAATATGAGGAAAAACAAGATGGTATAGTATGTCGGGAAAACATCATGGTACTGTATAGTATGTTGAAAACATCAGTACTGCCTACCTGTGTGTGTGTGTGTGTGTGTGTGTGTGTGTGTGTGTGTGTGTGTGTGTGTGTGTGTGTGTGTGTGTGTGTGTGTGTGTGTGTGTGTGTGTGTGTGTGTGTGTGTGTGTGTCCACTGATTCAGAAGCATCCATTGTTTTCGCCAGACAAAAGCCGGCTGCATCTCGGCTTGCCATGATGACGAACCAAAGAAGAAGAGGGAGGACACTGGCATTAATAAACTGCTCACACACACTCACCACACACTCTCCCACAAACCAACCCAAGTGCCAGCACATCCTGTGTTCAAGCATCTCCAGTTGTCTGATGGCTCACAGTGTTTTTTAGACCTTTATTTTTGTGTGTGTGCCCTCCATCTGCAGCAAGAGTCTTGCTGTGTTTGATCAGCACACAAACAATGTATGCAACCATGCAGAATGTATGGTTTGGTCCGAGGGGGACAGAGGCCAGATATTGTGTAAAACAAAGTAGATTTAAAACACACAGAAGCATCCCCAGATGTTTTCCTGCAGTACGTTTGCTGTGGGAGAAATCAATATCTGTGGGCTACCAAGTGGTTTTAGCTCGCTCTCTTGACCTTCCATCTCAGAAGCAGCTACTGCGCTGGAGTTTATTCTGCTGCCCAAAAAACAGATTGCGTCTCATCTATATTTGGAAGCAGACATTTTAGTTCTACTGATACTTATGTGGATCTCTGGACTATATTTATTCAATAAGAGTTCGTATTGGTGTCCCTATTTTTTTGGCTACATCTAATTTAAATCTATGTGTAATATACATCTACATATCTTTACATTTTGCCATGTATTCCATATAAAATACCACACATTTTTCATGATTTGGAAAATACATGTACAGTTTCTGGCATTATCTGATTTAATTATGACATACAGTTTTGATGACTTGAATATGTTTTTTAAACACATTTATTGTTATACTATTACTTTTTATGACATTTTATGATAATTCTTGTGTCTTTTTTCGACATACTATACTAGGACTTTAAGGCATTCTTTAATGATGACCTATACTAAAATGTTTTTTATTCTCATGTCTGAGACAAACTCTACTGTGTGTTTTTATAGCACTTTTTCAACAAGATACCTTCTACAAAATTCTACCTATCCAGTCAAAGTTATTTGTATTTGGCTCCTTTGGGTGTTGTGTCTGTCAAAATGACATTTTTGGAGGAAAAGTCAAACGTGATCTGAACCAGAGCGGAAACTGGAAAGCTGTATTCCTGCTTCCTGTACTGGCAGTGGAGGAAATGATGTCATGACCTGCTCACTTCCTGAATTAACTGTTTCAGTGCCCCTTTTGGTAAAGCACCTGCTGAGGCACTAAATCAACCAAATTAGATTTTGGTATCGCTTTCTGGAAATGGTTACGGTTGGGTGTTATTCATTTAGGGGGGAAAAGGATTAATAAGAAACTTCAGATACTCCTAGGTTTGCAACTCTTTTGTCAATTTAAGGTGAGGAGACATAAGATAAACCTTTATTGATCCCAGTAAGGAAATGCAGGTGTTAAAGCAGAAACAGGATTCAAGTTGAAACACAGGATAGGACAGGTAAAAAATCTCAAAAGGATAAATAAGAATAAAGAATGTAAATAACAGTATGAAATATAATATCAACATAGAATTGGCTGTTTCATTTTATAAGTGATTATTAAAACATAATAATGTCTTTAAGTGCAAGTCCAGAGTAGGTTCATACGATGCCAATACGGTAGTTGTTACATTTATAGTTTTTATGTGGGGGTCAGTCTTGGATGCTACCGGCACAAAGAATTGTCCGAGGCGATTTGTGGTTAGTCGAGAAGGGAATAATCTGTGGCTGAACGTGCTCCTCATGTTCACTTGCTCCGCATGAAGGGGGTAGGAGGGGGATAGAGTCCAGCTTCCACCTCGTAACCAACATCAAGGCCAAACTATTTCTTAAATGCAAAAAAGTATCAAGCATCTATTCTAGACAGATACTTTTCTCTAAAACAACTGACTATTATCTTAGTAGAATAGAGTAGAAAATGCTCACAGCGAGGTGCCAGCATGCTGAGATTTAACAGATATAGTGTTTGTCATGTGATCATTTGAAATAAATGACAGCTTCCATGCAGTGTGACCAGGGGAATCCAAGTCAATGCAGCATTGTCGATTACAATTCTGCAGTTTTTGAAAAGTCTACATTTTTTCAATAGCTCCCATATCATGGGACCTCTTGACTCCAAATTCCTACACTGGACCAGTCACTCTAGGATGTGTTCCTGGTAAAAGCTCACACAACATATTTTTTCTGCAGCAAATCACACACTTTCATGTCTGCCAGTGACAGGTCCTTAAACAGCTTGTTTTTAGGTGAGGAAACATGACGTCTTTGTTGTTCATGAGCATGTTCGCGGTGTTATGGCTGGTAAAGTGTGCTGCAGTTGGTTTTCTCACTTTGTTGCTGCTGCCAGAAGCAACACACACACACACACGCTGCCAACGTCAACAGACAGACCTTCATACAGGGAGGGGAGAACAAGGGGGAATTAAAACAAATTAAGATAAGAGGAGAATCAATAGTTAAAGTACAGAGAAAACAAACCTAACTTCAGATCATTGTCCTCTCTGCCTTTTGTCTCTCTTACAAGGTTCATCTCAGCTAAATGCTGTAATTTATGAAGAATGGTGTGTGTGTGTGTGTGTGTGTGTGTGTGTGTGTGTGTGTGTGTGTGTGTGTGTGTGTGTGTGTGTGTGTGTGTGTGTGTGTGTGTGTGTGTGTGTGTGTGTGTGTGTGTGTGTGTGTGTGTGTGTGTGTTGTGTGTCATTTCCGAGCTTGACCAGACCAGCCACCCAGAAGTGTGTCTTCCTTTGTGGCTGACAAGCTGGCGTGAGCAAAGCTTCCGCTGTGAGCTGCACTGAGTGGCTGATCACTCAAGCAGAAATCAACAAACACACACACATTACACACACACAAACTTCAACATAATTACAGATGAGAAGGGACATGAGCAGCCTCAGTGGAGGCTCTGCTGCTAACTGGAGCAGAGGTGAACACACACACACACACACTGCAGTTGTCGGAGGTCGTTGGAAGTGTCCGTAGACAAGCAGTGGGAAGTAACACCTGATGTCTTTGTTGCCAGGCTCCCGCCTAGCGACTGTCATTGTGGCAACCCGCTGCGATGTGCTCGACCCTGTTGCTAGGCAACCTGAACTTCTGTGACGGAGAGTCAGAAAGTTCTGCGGTGAGAGCGAAACTGAAAGACAGAGAAGGATAGAAGTGCAGAGAACTGAAGAGAAACATAGAATACAAACATTAAGAGGTGTATGAAGGTCTGTAGACAGCTTATCACACAGAGCAGTGAATCT